ATTTGGAAGTTCTGGAGAAAGGACGAGAAGACCTTAGTGCCTTGCACTAATACATAATCAAAACAATATCCTAAATATAGACTAAACATCTGATAATGAATTGAAGCTTCGAATAATGGAACAAATAGTGCTATTTATTGATGAGGTAGAACCTAGTTAGTTACTCTACATCCAAGTAGAAGACATAATCTTAAAGTTTCAAAGCAAAATCTACTATTTTGAATAATAATAAATATCGCTCTGTATGCAGCAATTAAATGTTGTTCTGACCTAATGGTACCAAAAGCAAATGTAAATAACAAACAAAAAGTAAATTAAATTAATTGAAATATTTATTTAATTTATTTTTTATTTAAATAATTTAATATTGTAATATATTTTATAATTTATGGAAATCAAATGTACAAATCCTAAAATCGGGATGACAAAAACCAGAGCAACATTCTCTGTGCTTGCGGCAGGTGGAAATGACCACGTCCGGTATACAACCACTCAATGGCTATAAGAAAACAAAGATTGTTTTATAGATTATATCACATGAATTTTGATTTAAATCTTTTTACTTCATTTTTTGAATAACAAAAATGATATTTTGGATGACATTTTCCCTCGCAGCACTGCTGATCCACCTGACACTCTTTCACATCATATTTAGTAAGGCAACGTATCTAGATATATATATAATTATGTTTTAAAGTGAATAATCTATATTATGTAAAAATCTTCCTCGTACCTTACATTCTGCAAGGTGTCTAGAGTCTAGAAATAAATAAACTACAAATATTCTTAGAATACGAAATTGCATTTTACAATGATTTACAACAGCAAATGATAAAATACATTGTGTAACTAAAACTGTGAATCTTTAATTTTTGTTGCAGGTTTGTTACAATTTATTTTTAAATATTTTACATACATAATATTTTACAACAATTTACATGAATTATGCATTAAAACATTCATATACTCGCTATCTTAAACTAACACGACTAACACGACATAAGGATGTCTGCGACACCTTTTGAAACCCACTAGCCTTAGCCAGTTGCTCTACTGGCGATTCGTCTAATATTTATTATAATAAAAACGAAGACTTGATTATTTATAAATTCACTACAAGACCAATTTCATTTTTATTCCTAATAGGTCACATAGCTCTGACCTGTTGGTCACTATTTCAATTATATTAAATTGAAAAGTGATGGAAAGATTAAAATTAACCATGAACAGGAAATATACATTACTAAGCAAATCAGGACAATAAGACAATGACTTAGTTATACAATATAATTAACTTAATTAAGGATAACACCGTTCATTCCTTTTAGAAGCTAAAACATTGTCTTGAACAAATGCACTAAGATTTTCTTACCTTTAAATGTTTTTAGTATGTTTACACTTTCGCACTTAACTCCGCAAGTGTGCAGCAATTATTGTCACTTTCCATAAGAAGTCATTATAAAATCCAACAAAAACTCTTATAGTTCATATTTGCTTTCAACTATATATTTGTCATGCTTTAATCTGTGGTCAATCTCTTTTTTGGATCCTTGTGGTTTTGCATCAAATAACTTCCTCGTCACTCTTTCATACACTCACCTCATATATCACCATATTGTCACGTAGTACAATATTTTCAGACCGCTTGTGTATGCCAATGATATTGATATTATTAGCCTGAGCACCCGTACCGGCAATGTGGTTTTTTTATTTAGTAAAACATGGAAAACTAATAAATCTTATGATAAATTCACTAAGAGACTAACCAGTCTCTTATCGTTCCTTTCTTACTGGCGCAGAAGCATGGACATCAACTGACACGAATTAGAAAGTATTAGACGTATTTGAGAAAGAAATTCTTTGCAAGATATATGGTTTCTTACAACCTAAGAACTAGTATGGAATTAAATAGAAGGAACAATAATAGACAACGTTCATATCCTCACTAGAAAAACCTAGGTCAGTGATAATATAAAAGCACTCAGTATTAATAACACCGATACTTGGCAGGTTGCTGTCAAGTACGACACACATGACATAATTGGTAAAGACCAAGTAAGCCAGTTTTTTTACACTTATATATATATATATATATATATATATACATGAAATTATTTAAGAGTTCATTATTTCAGCATTAAAATATGGACAGCAATATTTTTCTCTCATGTGCTACTTTCTTTCTCTTTCACGCTCTCTCTTTGTCTCCCTCAATCTCTATCTATCGCTTTTGGCACTTTTCATTATTTTTATTTCTATATCAATATCAATATTTTACTATATTTCTTCCTGAATGTGTCCATCCACATTTCTTTCCGTTTCTTGTTTATTTATATCTTTAATTCGAGCTCAGACAACATTAAGAAATGAAATATAATAAAATGAACTCAGCAATGCAATTTAGTTTTACCTTTTTATATTGTGAGATAAAGTTAGATTCAAATAATTGATGTTAGATTTTACATAGAGTGAACCTGCAACCATCTTGTTCCTTTCACGTTCTTCGCGCTATAGAATCCACCATACAGTGAGGCAAATGCTTTGATTTAGTTGATTAAGGTCTGATAGTAATAGCATATCCGAAGAAACTCTGAGACTATATATGTAATAAAAAAAATACAAAATATATATATAATATATTATATATATAATTTAAATCAAATCAAGTATGATATACATCAACAAATATAACTAACTATAACTTGCTATAATACCCTAAGAAACAGTTCAGTGCACTTAATTTTTGTAGGGGGCATATCATACATATTCATATACGCCATCTCCGAATAAACAAATTTAGTGCAAACTATTTTTTATATTAATGATGGTGAATGATGATATAAATTCATATAATATAGCATTACCAAAACATTTAGATGAAATGCGAGTTTTATTTAATATTGACACATTTTGTCTAATCTTCTTCAGTCACCTCTAAACCACACTTCATGCAACAACGGTTTTGAAAGGCAATAACGGCTTCTTCCGCCGACAATTTACTCGTATTCTTCACGTTCGGGAACAAGAAGCAGTCATTAGGTGTCATTGGGTGTGTGGAGGATGGCCCATCAATTCGATTCTTTTAATGTTCAAATACGAGTAGTCGGTATGAGCACTCGCATTGTCGATCATTCGTTTCGACCACGATTACAATCATTGTATCAGTGTTTCACAGTGGCAAATGATGGAGCTTACTTCACATCGCCAAATGTGAAAGTTGATCGATGCACTCTTGTCTTGATTCAATTTTTTTGCGAACACTTAATTTCCACTTTAAATAACACTAATAACGCTCTCAGGTAGGTTATGTTTAATAATGTCAAACTTTCTTTTTGAAACTCCAGATGATACCTGACAATAATCAGTATTGACAAGGGTCAAAATATAAATAGTAACCTTCCAACCATCATAGCTTGTTTGCTGTCATAAGTCTTCTACGATATTTTTCATTTAACGTATTTTATTTTCATTCATTCTATATTTCATACTATATCTGTTTTGACATCTATGTGTGAGAAGGGGTATTATAATAGTGAGTATTATAATAGTTTTGAATGTCCGTAGCACATTTTGTTTAGCTATCGATTTAGGTTTCATTAACTGCATACATATATGCGTTTTTCAATTGTTCTAAAAAAACGTATCATCGTTTGAGAATGTGTCGAATTGCCCAAGATCATCGACTAATAATGTAAGCGTCACTCTCGTGACTTTTAAAATTTATGAAGTTCCGAGATTGACCTAAGAAATGACTGCTATTGAACAAGGTTTAAATCTTGGACATACGAACAAATCAACAGGATTAGATTCCTGAATTTTAACTGAACCTTAAAAAAATTTAGCTCAATTTCATCTTCAAAATTTTAAAAATGGAAAGACCAGCACCATAAATAGTTGATAAAGCTTGATACTACAAGTAGAACCCTGAAACATGGCAACAGACGATAGTATGGAGCCCAGAAAGTGCTAATCAACACGTTAAAATCCGGCAACAAAAGTAACGATGTCAATTTACGTCACTAGAAAAAAGGTTAAGACTGGCCATACTGTAAGTGCTAAATACTAAACTGCCACCTGCTTATCATAATTTTGCAAAAGGAAACAGTGTCGATACTGTCAGCATCAGAAAACGCGATATCTGACACTGCTAAAAAACAAACAAAATTATAATGTCTTCAGGAACTCAAAAAATTCGTCCAGCACTATATTTCTCAGATCCAGCGATATATGGCGTCTGCTTGTTTCCAAAAAGAAAAAAAATAGTTAAGAGGAAAGGTCATTGGCAGTATTGAGGAGATAATTAGTGAGAATTATTTTAGAAAGTGGATCTATCGACTTTAAAAATGAAAATATGAAAAGTAATTAAAATCTAAGTTATTAAGTTAAAATTATTATATTATTATATATTCTTTGTTATATTATTATTTTTCTTTGTAAACAGCTAACCACAAGGAACTTTTCGTAAGTCCTATTGGAGATAGTTGATATTTGTTGGAATTTTGTCTTCAAATAATGAAACTATGAAGTATTAAAAATAAAATATTTTCCAACCAATAGAATTCTTATTGACTGAAATGCTAATAAACCATTATCTTTAAGTAAAAACAAATTAAATTTATTGACTGAAATTAAAAAATAAATGTTGTGTCTCCCCAAATTCTTTGAAGACTGAAAATATTGAATCTTTAATCTACATTAAAATCACACATTTATAAATCTTTTCTACAATTTAATTTATTATATTGTATTTCTAATTTTTTTTATTGCTTTTACATTAAATAAAAATAATAATAAATTCAAGACACTCAAATTGTTATTACACATTTTTAGTATACATTTTTAAAATTCATATTTTATATTTTATTGTTAATAGTGATATAAGCATTTAACCGCATCATACGTATGACAAAACTTGGTAATAACAAATTAAGGTTTTAAAAATTATACGGATATAATCAGTAATAAAATTTTAATATTCAAAATAAAATAAAAATATGTAATTCTACGAATAAATATATTTTTAAACCAAATATAAAATTTTTAATAGTTTAAAATATTGTATATACCATGGAAAGGATGAAATAAGCTTTGGCTTTGCCGAAGATTCAATATCCTTCACACAACTGTTTTTTTTTTTTTTTTTGAAAGATGAGATATCTCATTATCGCTAATATTTTATATGAACACGATGCAGTCATCCAATTTGCTTGGATGCACTAAAAGTCCCTATGAAATACAATTAATACGATTATATCAAAAACTGAGACTAAATAGTTTAGCAATAAACAGAGAGACAAACAGACAGACATCACTTAATATATTCGTGTTGTAACGCTGTTTATAGATATGCGAGTATATGACCCACATGGATGTTCGACGATTTCTTAATCGCCTTACTTGTATTTTGATTAATTTAATTTAACCCTTTTAGATTACATACTCGTTTGTGAAGAATACATAAAATTTACATAGTTTCTGTTTTAAAACAAATTTTATACATGGTTTTTCGGTAATTGTCAATACACTTAAAAATATATTATTTGTTATTAAACGAAGACAACTTTTAGAAAATAAACAGTTTTGAAATGACATGTTTTAATTGCAAGTTTTTAAAGAGTTCAGCGACGGAGCTACCGACGACGTTCCCCTTTAACTGTTTTGCGTTTCTCCTTCTTCTCCTCGCGTTGTTGTTTCTGTTTTTCACGGTCTTCTCGGTCCTTTTGTTTTTTGGCTGCACTATCAAGTCGCGCTTGCTCCCTACGCTCTTTCTGCAACTGTATGACATCGTGAACGTTAGTGTTGCGTTCAATTCCGGTTAAACTATTGGCAGTGGTTTTCTCAGCAGTTTCCTCAGGCTCATCAGCATAATCTTCATCACTAACTGCAGTCTAGATTCAAGAAAACAAATTATTTAAAAATATAGTAATCAGAGTTGTCAAGCAAATAGACAAATATATATAGATTGGTGCTTCGATGTTCTGTTGTTGTTGTGGCCTGAGGAGATCTAACATATATTGCAGTAGACATGAAAGGAAACAGAAATCGCGAATGCTATAATTAGGATATGGATAGGAAGGGATAAATGCGAAGACGAGAAATTGTTTGACATAACATGTAGATAAGGACTGGGTGGGATTTATTTGAAACTAGCCATGCGCAGAGTAGAAAAATTGTGCTATTTCAATGGGTCGGAGCCAAAGTCAATAGGGCCAAAATTAGTGTCCACATTGATACATGAGAACAGATAGGCTACATGGATAGTAGAGCTTCATTTACCCTGGTCTCAGTTAGCCAAGGACTGTTCTTGCTACCTTTGTTTTTCCGTTCTTCCCTAAACATATCAGTCCTGCTAAGAAGTGTGTTGAAGTTCAATTGTGTTACTTTATCTTTATATATACTTTATCTGTGGGGAGAGCTACAAGTCTACGTTTAAATTCGACCTCACTGGTGTTTGCTCCATTACAATGAACGTTACATTAACATTATTATACAAAAAAGGTATCGTCGGATACATTGTGGAAGAACTACGAATCATGTTGCTATTGGGATGTGTATTTATGTGACGGGACGGTAAATATTGTGTAGATAATTTTTGATTACATTTCAATATAAGAAGCATTTTAATTCTACATAAAGATGATAAATATGAGACATGCGATAGGAACCAGTTGAAATCCGCACGACTGTATATTAGCAGGTTAAGATATTGTTCAATTGTGTCTAGAAACCTAAACATAGTTGACCAAAACAATCAGAAATGAATTTGATGGATTTCGTGGCATGTTGGGATTAAAAATAAAAATACAATTAAACTCGACAAAAAACCTCCAGCAGGCTGAAATATTTTATGACCTATTAAAAGACAGCTTGTCCTTATGTATTAAAAAATAAAAAGATAAATTTAAAGATGATTATACTGGAATAACTTATTAGGTTTATACACTTTATATTACTTATAGGTAGCTACAACCTAAATTGCTATAAGAAGTATTTGAACTTAACGAAAAACTTAAGAATTATAACTAAACTTATAACAGGACATTGTAGGTTCAATTATCGTCTCAATACGGTAGTTGTCTAACATAAAGAACGATTTATTGGTTAGCCTATTTGTGAAAGTCGTTACATCAAATGAATATAATAAACAAAGAGATATAACTTTCGGTACTTGTAATTATCTTTATCTTTCTTTTTAATTCAAAATTATTTATTTCTTGATACTCTGTATTGATTTGTTAGTTGCTTTCTTTTGTGAAATCATAATTTTGGGTTAGCGAACATTAGTTTCCATAGTCAAAGCCTAAAATATTCCTTATATTCGAAAACTGTATAGGAAACTGTATTAAATGTGGTCTGCAAGTCTGCAGAAAGGTAAAGAAAATAATTTGCGAATAAATTGAAAAAACATTTGGATTAATAATGAAGTAAGAATCAGTAAAATGGAAAAAACAATATCATTTATAGAGGAAGTAGGACTGACAAAAGCACTCGCAATTCATTAACATCTCGGTACCATATACACTATATATTAATAATAAAATTATCATATCATGGACATGACATTAATTAATGAAATTGAATTTATAAGAAAAATCATAAAATTATAATATACTAAAGGTTTTGATTATTCGTAACACACCAACAAAATTGTATATTGTAGAAAATGAGTTAAAAATGATGAATCTCTAAAACGGAGGTTACTTTAAAATGATAAGTAAGCTAAGCGACTGATTCGAATCTGTCAGCAATTAGTGCAGTTGAAGTAATAAATTAAAAGAAAAAAAATAACTTACTTGATATAAAGACAAATTTTATATTAAACACATAATACGAGGACACACACATCTTTTGCTGCCCGTCATATATTTAGAGACCATATCTAGGAAGTTTTCATGTATTCATCATATATCCCTGAAATGCCAGCGTAAGATTTTTATTTATTTACCCCGATCTTTGCAACAGTTTTTTGTTGACAAAAATGGAGAACTAAAAAAAACATGGAACTGGTTTTTAAAAAGAAAAATTAATAATTTAACCTCAATATTTTCATGATTTATCGTGTTCACATAACGGGACCACTTATGTTTTCAGACGTCCAAGTAGTGGCTCTTGTAACAGGGACAAAACTAGTAGGTCTTTTCAAATTATAATAACAATCTCAAATTACCAAAACACCATTTGGTTTTCAGAACCAAATGGGCTTTAACTGCAATTGTCAGTGACGTATGAAAGAAAAAATGATTTAAAATTCAAAACTCAAAAATCATCAACCAGACAAAACCGAATTCCAACTTTGAAGTCCGACATCTAAAAACCTAAGTCATAGGTCTACATACAGTGTATTGAAAAAAGTTGTTCCTCAAAGCCGTTCTTACTAAAACCCGAAACCCGTTGTTAAATAAGTGTGCCCGGAAAATCGAAGCTTAGGAACTGCTGATGTTAATAAAACGTACAAACAACGACCAACCATAAATAGTAGTAATGCTTCAGAACAAAAAATGTATAGACAAACCTCGAGCACATTAGATACAATAAATGGGAGTCGATCTATAATTATAAAAACCTGAAATCTGACTGCTACAGAAGAAACAGCTTTCGTCTGTTGTCTTGTCCCTTATACTGCTTCTGAACGTTGCTGATAGTGATAAAATTTGTCCTGATATGAGGCCATTATTGCTTATCTTAAAAATACAAACCATTTAACAAATTTATAACTACCTAACTGGATTTATTTTATTCCTTTATTTTAGTCATTTGTGCTGTTTTCTAACATATTTTGTTCTTGAATTAATTTGAGATTACTAGAAAAAGTTGAGGAGTTTTTGAATTAATTAAATAATTGATATCATAGAAAACAACACTTAAGCTTAGTCTTACTAAAGATTACAAATATATGGATTGTAATATACTGAAAACTTTAATAAAATTGTATTATAAAAAATTTTACAATAGTTAAAAATTTACGAAGGTTTCTGAAACAACCAGGCATATGTCCTAGATCTATTTGTCTTTTTAAATTACTAGATTCCACTTAGCATTTAGTCACAACAACGATGAAAACAAACTAGAGTACGAAGATAAAAGCTTTGTGGTGTCTCACAGCGTAATAGTTAGTTTATTAGTTGTGGTGGAGGGAGGACGAATCCAATTAGCTAAAAAAGAAAGCCGTTTTGAATCCACAAAAAACCTCGTAATAGTGGTTAGTAGATAGAGGGTCAACCTAGAACCAGCCAGAGGCATTAACAAAGGTAAGAATCTGGCTAACGCTAATGCTGGAGATATCGCTATGTGAGTTGAAGAAGGGGGCCCCCAGAAGCTTAAACGTAGTTCTGGCCAGATCTGGACAAAAACACATCAGGTGTTCTGGTGTCATATCTTCAAGAGCTGGTAGACACGCACTGCAAGAGGTACCACAGGGAAGGCCGAGTCTAGCTCCATGTCTTCCTGTGGGCCAGTATCCCGTAAACACAGATATTAGCCTGGACACCTCAGATTTGTTTCTACGAATAAAGTCAGAGGTTCTATATTTGGAATAGATGGGCCAAGTAGCCCTTGACCTGGCTGCAGAGGCAGTAAGGGTCCTCACAGCGTAATACAGAATCACAAATCTTTAAATAAAATTGAGATGTAAGCAGATTCTGTCAGCCCAATAACACAGTGCGTCTTTTTTTTTATTTTGATTTTTCATTTGTGTTAGGTTATTTTGAGACTGCTAAGCAAATCATCAACCCGTGTTTTCCTAGATATCTGGAACTCTTACAATAACTGATTAAAGTTAAAAAATTAAATTTTTAAATGGTTCATACAAAATTATTATTTTAAGTGATACGAATTTAGTGCCTAGCAAATTTGTTAAGAATAAATAGTACACATCTATAATATTACAGTCAAACCACTCTTTGACGAACCTCTCTGTAACAAATTCCTTTCTATAACAAAGTTTATTCAGGTATCTAAGCAAATTTTTGCATACAAAATAACCATAAATCTATAACGAATTTATTCAAACACAAGTTAACATTCAACTAACACGTATCATACTCGATATGAGCTCGTGGACATGTTATTCAGTTTATAATAAGAATGGGGACTGTTTGGCTCGCGAGTAGAATGATGAAAGTGAGAAAGAACATCATGTGAATTTGCTGAAAGTAAAAAAAATTTAAATGAAAGAGTAATCACCAAACACATGTGTGTGCTCTCCCTTTTAATACGAATGGTAGAGAATTTTTAGAGAGGTTTAGAAATTTTTGAGTCTATTAACTCGTTGAAATACTTTAATGACAAGAAAAAGATTTAAAGCAAAAATAATAGACTATTTTCGAGTTAAATAAAATAATAAATAATAGAACTTTAAGTTCTATATAATAATAAATTAAATAGTAATTAATAAAAATATTTTTTCTAAATACAAACCAATATATGATTAATGCTTTTAATATTTTGTATGTTTATATTAATAAGCATGAATTATATATATTTTTAAAGTAAATACGTACACAATGCCCAGTAAAACACAAAAAAAAATCCCAACAACAGAAAATTTGTTTAACGTCTCTATAATGAAGACCTTTCTATAACGATGACCTCTCTATAACGAAGACCTCTCTATAATGAAGACCTCTTTATAACGATGACCTCTCTATAACGAAGACCTCTCTATAACGAAGACCTCTCTATAACGAAGAGCTCTCTATAACGAAGACCTCTCTATTACCAAGACCTCTCTATAACGAAGACCTCTCTATAACGAAGATCTCTATATAACGATGACCTCTCTATTACGAAGACCTCTTTATAACGGTGACCTCTCTATAACGAAGACCTCTCTATTACCAAGACCTCTCTATAACGAAGACCTCTCTATAACGAAGACCTCTCTATTACCAATACCTCTCTATAACGAAGACCTTTCTATAACGAAGACCTATCTATAACGAAGACCTCTCTATAACGAAGACCTCTCTATTACGAAGACCTCACTATAACGATGACCTCTCCATAACGAAGACCTCTCTAGTACGAAGACCTCTCTGTAACGAAGAGCTCTCTATAACGAAGACCTCTCTATTACCAAGACCTCTCTATAACGAAGACCTCTCTCTCTATAACGAAGACCTCTCTATTACGAAGTTTTTGCAGGCACCTACGACTATATTTATAAAATAATATACATTATGGTCATTATGCGACATCTAATCGTTTAATACCAATGTTAAAATCGCACTTTTATATGATAGTGACACCTGCAATAAAATCGCCAGCAGCGGGCAATGTTTGAGAGGCTTTATCAACCGCAGTCTTTATCGCATCTTATGAATAGTGTGTAACCCTAAGCAGACCACTAAGATTCCTAATGACAAACAACGAATTAACTTTAACTTTGACAACAACGTTAGTAAGAAAATATATCGAAAATTAATACCCGGAAATATACTATGGCTTATCTAACACCAAACTCTCTAGACTTGAAATACGCCGGCAATACGTTGACTAGAAAAATTGAACCATTATTCTTTAAATGAAATTCAATGGAAATCATTTGTTATGGACCTATGTTTTGGGTAGAAATTTAAATGATAAAAATATATACCTTAATGTAGATTACTAGAAAACAGTAAAACGGAAACAAAAAGTTTTATGAAATATAGCCACAAAATGTTTTAAAATTTTAAATTTTAGTGATGAGTACTTTGGTTTTAACAAGAACTAAAAAAAATTTCAAATGACAACACTATTACTATCAGTTGTTGTTGTTGTACTCCAGGTACAACAATTTTGAAGTAGCTTGAGACGTAGTTATAATTTATTGAATATAAAGTAATGAAAGCAACTAGGATTCAAAATTCAGAACTAACCGAAACTATGTTTTAATCGAACCAACCAAACGGAGCTGACCATACTCGTTGGGGTTTCAGTATTTGTAAGGATAACGGTTATAACTGAGAGTCATTCACCATTCAAGTCGATTGAATTAAAACGGCATCTATACTGTATAACGAACAGGTCATGTACCCCACTTACAACTACTTAAAAGTTTATTTAAAGTTAAATGATGCCTTTAAATGAACACTCTTTGTGGAAACTAAAGCAGAGATATTAGAAAAGCTTTATAAGGGCGTCCAAGCGAATTATTTCGCTTTAAAGTACAATGTGACAAAATCTGCTATCACTTACATTAATTCCATACTTTTGCTGCTTCTGATACTTATGGAAAAGGAAGCAAAAAATCTTTGCTTGGCGCTGAAAATCCTTCGATGGAAAAATATCTGTTTAAATTGTTTTTAAGTCAGCGCAAAAAGATCTGTGAGTGAGTGCGTGGTGTAAATGAGTGGTTTCATAAGATATTTATTAAAGACGTAAACAGAAAGAATTTCTGTTTTTGAATTTATCATTTAAAAATATATTTCTTGTTTAACAGGTTTCCCGAATTTTAGTAGAAAATAAATTGACTCCGAACGCTCTTCTACTTATTGACAACTGTTCTGTTCATGCTCCGATAGAAAAACTGAAAAAGCGACGATGGAGATATTGTTGCATATTTCTTCTCAACAAATGTAACAACAGCTGTGTAACCAATGACCGAAAATCCTATAAGGTTGACAAAACTCAATTATGGAAATAAGTTTCTCGCCGAAATAATTGCTGAAGGTGGTGAAGTGAATAATTTTTAAAAACATCATTCCATCCGAAATGCAATAACTCTTCTAAAACAGGCTTGGGATAAGCTGCCTCACAAAGTAGTGAAAAACTCTGGGTCCAAGGTATTGTATTCGGACTCTGATCATTACGACAGCGATGATAAAATGCCACTTGTACGTTTAATTAGGGAAAATGAGGACTACACTAAAGCAATCCAAACAAATTTGGTTCTTCTAGCAAAATTGGACTCAAGTATTTCGATCTGTGCAGAGCAAAACGATGAATGGAATAGAGATGTTTTTCAAGACGGATCTGAATATGAGTTCAATAACAATGATTATACTTTAAATAACAATGAATATAACGTTCCTAATCCCCCGCCAAATGTGTCGCATTCTGAAGCAAATGAAAGCGTCAATATTTTGAGAAATTGATGCAAAAAGAATGACTCGTTTTCTATTGATTCGATGACCAATCTTTTAACTATCCGCAACGATATCATTGCAAAAAAATGTGACTAAATCTAAAAAACTAACAAACTACTAAATATTTTAAACAATAATGCTTAATGAAGACTGATTTCAACTGTAAAATAAAGTTTTTATGTAGAGTTTTAATTTGTTGATTATTTTTTATAGGAACTAAAAAAGTCCAGAAATTTGAACTACCCAAAAAACCAAGTGGTTCTAATTTGTGTCTCTACTGTACCTTATATAGCAGATACCTTTATCTATAACATTTAAAGCAACTACATTCATTAAACCATTTTGTCAATTTTCTTACAAAATGGTCACAAAATATTTACATTGGCGATGAAGTAGCCTATTTTGTTTATTTTAATTTTTATGAGTAATAAACTATACCCAAGCATAATGCAAAACAGACATTTATAAATTCCCATTAGTCACTATGTGCAATTGCATATGTTTATGAAAATGAATCGATGAATAAAGGCATATGTTTTATATGGAATAGTTTCACAATTTAAATGTTTTGTTGGTATCACCTCTGAGTATTGTGCTAATATTTGTTCACGTATCCGACGCTCTTCTTCTGTATATTGACGTTCCTTGTTAACAGGTTGTATTTTTTGTGCTTCCAATAACTTTGCCAATTGCTCATTAACGTCAATAGGAGCAGCTTTGGCTGTTTCTTCCTTCTGTGGCATTAGCTCTTTCCATTTTTCGAATATCATTTCAACTAAACCACTTGTATCACCCTAAAACAGGATCAAAGTAATGTTATAAACACTTAATATTATTGTCACAAACTCACCACCACTGCACCTAACAGATCCTGTAAAGCATCTGTTTTTTCCTCATGGGTTTCATCACTCTCCAAGACGCCAAGTATATAATTACCGAAAATCGATTCATCTGTCTGCCATTCGCGTAATCTTTCCAATAACCATTTTTTAAAAATAGCGTGGTTGTCGGTCATGTTAATATTGTAATTTTATTAATTGTTATGATTAATTTTATAATAAATTTTAAACAGTTCACAATTTATTCACTGTTATTCGACGTTTACATATAAATCAACAAAATTTATAACGTGAAGTTATATATTTTGTTGATTTATATTGAATATTATCATTTGCTTTATTTATATAAATGATTGACGGCGTCTGACTTATTTGGCTATTTTTGGTGTTGTACTCTTAATTCCGGCACTTTTCTTTTCATTTACTTAATTTTTATTGCTTATGATGTCTGACAGCTGTCAATTACAGTGGTGGCGGGAAATATTGCAATAACTCTAAGAAAATTTGTATTGTATATTTGGTGAAGTGTTCACACATTTTACGTAAAATTAATATATACTATATATAGTAAAAATATAAGCAAAATCGCGGTTGAATTTAAAAAAAATACCTTATTTAAAAATACATATAGGCAATACGAAGTATTTCGGTGGCTCGTAAATATGATAAAAAATGCATGCTAATCTATGCTGGCCGAAATGTACGCTAAACAATTGTCTTGCAATTGTCTTATAACTTTTTGTTTTTATTTTAACGTTTGGGTTCTGTTTTTATTCATGAAATACATTTATTTATAAAAACAGAAATTCAAAAATCCTTTATAAATAATTCATTTCTTCACAATTACTAGTCTATCAGTAATTTTCACAAATTTTGTTAAAATATTACTCTTAAAATATTTAAATTTATTCATTAACACTTGGAACAAATGTAAACAATAAACAGCTGACTGTTTCCATTTTCTTTCAAAAATCATTCACGATAGATTTTAAAGATAGTTAAATAGTTTAGATAAGCTTTGTCTTTTGTTGGTTTGCGATGGTAGTCAACTGATATCCGATTTCCAATTCCGAGGCATCCTTACGTCTTTCATTGGCCCAAATTTCAAATCCTGGGGATCGGACTCGCTGTACGCACTATTAGTTCATTATCCAGCGAGTACCCGATAACTTTCCAGGGGTGCCATGATATAGTACTGATAACGTCTAAAATATCTATCTACTTTGAAAAACTATATCAGTTTATTTTTTACAAATCACTCAATTTAATAAGAAAATTATAAATAAAGTATTCAGGTGCAAATTAAAGGACAACTTAAAAATATGCACTTAACATAAAATTGTTTCACATTAGGTTATACTTTTTATAATAGAAAAGATTTTTACTTTCTACAACCCATAAAAAGCGATGAAACTATTTTCCAGAATTGATAGAATCCTACTTTGATGTACAATAAAATTGGCAACATTGGTGACTTTCTTGATTCTAATATTCTATTTTATTAAGAAAATGTCTTCATTGAAGTCATACAATTATATCTACATGAGACATAAATATTATTATATTGTATATAAATTTTAAAATACAAATATATGTAAAAGTTTACTTTGTAACTTGTTCTTTTAAATTTTTACAATCATTCCTCATTTGTCATTAGAGGGTATAACATTAACATATATTCGTCTTGCATACACATTTCTTCTTGGATAGGTGCATATTTGGTCAAACTTTCTGTTAATATTACTTTCCATTTAAAACTCTTTTTAACTAATATCGAAATTTTAATCCCTTCCTTCTTTTACATCGCATAGGTTTTCTCAAACAAATTTCGATTACATCCTTGAAGATTTCTACATCCATCGCACTTGTAATTCGTATTAAATGTGAAAGGAAAACATCAGATACAGAATCCGGCAGGTCTAATATTTTAGTGACGACATTGACTTAATATCACATAATTTAATAGACCTAGTCAGTGGAAGGCAGTAAACAGCAAGCCACGTGATGTCATCACATTCCAAATTGTATTCAATAACAGCTTTGATAGGGATTTATAAGCAACATTGTCTATAAGTACAAATTAATATTTTATTGACTTCTTTTTAATTAAAAATTAGTTTGAGTTTAAATAGTTAATGAAATTATTATAATCATAATTTTAAATAGGTAGTTAGATAGTAGCTTAAGTAAAGGAAAAGGACGGATAAATAATATAGAGTAAGAACCTTTATAGCTTGCACCCTAGACTAATGACACACCTATTTCTTATAAATACATATTTTTTATTATTTTTTATATTATTTAACTCATAGGGAATATGTTTTCCGATATATTTCTACTTCCTAAAAGGTACTAACTTTACTATATTACACAGAACTTACATATATGCGAAAAATTTAAAAACAGCTAAATTCTTATTAAACTTAGACTAGGTGCTCTCTAGTAATAACAAAATTTTAATTTATTAACAATATAATCAAGATATTTTGAAGTTACAAAACTGATATAGACGAGTGCAGATATTTCATCTGGATCCATGTTAAAAACAACCCCTATACCAGTACCTACACCTGCGTCTTTCATTCTTCCTTCCTCATCTCACTCCATTGTACAAAGTCTTGTCAACCTTTTATGTGCTTGCTGTGAGATGGGCGTTTGGTTACAACAACAACAGTTAATGCAATAAAATTATTGGTATATTTCAGTCAAGACTTATATTTGTTAATATCTTGATTAAGCTTAATCAATTCACGATTATAGTTAACAATGGAATTCATAGCCAAATATAGATTAAATACAGAGTCAAATACATTTAATTACCCCATTTTTGCTGAAGTTTCACTATTTGTAATGCAGGTTATTAATCTTTCAAGTCACTATATAATCAATCCATCAACTATTAGAGCTCTTTTTACATATCATAATCCTCTAAGTTTTTTAGTTAGTTTCTCTAACCATAATTGGAAAGTTCACTCTAAATTATAATCAAGACTCAATTTTCTTTAAATGGTGTCTAATTTATTGCATTTCCTTATAGAGTGGATTATTATATCCGAAACTTTTTAGGCACTAATTATTCAAAACTAAATTATGTTTATGTAAAATATCATTTTGTCTTTCCTATAATCGCTTTAGCGAGAAACCAGTCTTTTATGTTCATATTAATTGTTATTATAAATAAATTACACCCAAGCTTAATGCAAAACAGACATTTATAAATTCCCACTAGTCACTGAATCGACGAATAAAGGCATATGTTTTATATGGAATAGTTTCACAATTTAAATATTTGTTAGTGTCACCTCTGATAATTGTGCTAATATTTGTTCACGTATCCGACGCTCTTCTTCTGTATATTGACGTTCCTTGTTAACAGGTTGTATTTTTTGTGCTTCCAACAACTTTGCCAATTGCTCATTAACGTCAATAGGAGCAGGTTTGGCTGGTTCTTCCTTCTGTGGCATTAGCTCTTTCCATTTTTCGAATATCATTTCAACTAAACCACTTGTATCACCCTAAAACAGGATCAAAGTAATGTTATAAACACTTAATCTTATTGTCACAAACTCACCACCACTGCACCTAACAGATCCTGTAAAGCATCTGCTTTTTGCTCATGGGTTTCATCACTCTCCAAGACGCCAAGTATATAAATACCGAAAATCGATTCATCTCTCTGTCACTTGTTTAATTTTTCCAGTAATAATTTCTTTGAAAAGATATTATGCGTTGTGTTCATCTTTTTAATTGCTACTGATTAATTTTATTTAACTTTTAGATAATTTTTGTTGTTCAGTGCAACTGTCTTTATTTTAAATTTACATTGTCAATTTATTTTATAATATCATTGTAAATTGATATTGTTAGATTATTAATAATTTCTATTAACGTTAATTATGTTTATTCAGGCATTTTTAAATTTAAGTAATTTTCTTTATTTACTTGATTTGTTTTTTAGTTTTCATTTGACAACTGTCATTTACAGTGGTGGCAATAAATATGTTCTTTAATATAAAAATGACTTGTTTAATAGTGCATGGTGTCATAATAACATTCGGGCTGTAATGTGATATGGGTATAAGACCACACATATCACACAACGTATAAGTGTTCCAAATAATTTTAACGTAAATATTTACAGAGTTCTATTTTAAATACCAATAAATTGTTTTCAAGTAATATGAGCCTCTATTTTGTTATTTTTATTTTACAGTAGTCATTATTTACAAAAATAAGTACAGACAGTTCGTAAAATATAATTATCATAAGGTTTAAAATAATATTTCTATAAAAACTAAAATGATTAACATTTTTACTTGGTAAGCCTTATTCAAAAACCTAAAATAAAAGTTATTTCAAAAATGTTTATGAAAAAAAGCAGCAACAAAAAGTTCATATTTAAGTATATAGTTATCATTCTAACAACTTTTATCCTTAATATTATGCATGCTTTTCATATATGAGCATACTAAAATAAAACTCAAAAAATAACAATTAAATTTGCTTTATATTATATCCCTCAAAAATGATTATTTTATGTGCCTTTTATTTTTTCGCGCAGAAATAACTCTTAAAACTCTGCTTTTTATTTTGAAACGCACAAATAACTGTTGTTCTTGCGTTATAAATATAAAAATCATAAATAATTGGCGCTAACCTGCCGAATATTTTTAAAATGAAATTATAAAATGCATTTTTCATACAAGGTAGTTGTTTTTGTAATTCCGTACAAAAAAATTAATAATAATTATAATGAATTAAAATTTAAAATACTATAATAATTTAAAATATTATAATATTTTTTATAAGTTCATATTTTTGTGTGAGAGTTTTAATTAGCAATAATTATATTAAATACAAGTAATTTAAAAATCGTAAATTATGTTCATCAGCAACGAGATAATAACAACACAACACAAACAAAATAACGAAAGATACCTGAACCTAGATAGCAACGACGCTGAGAGGACCAAGCCGATCCTCTGACGCTGTTCCTGAAGTCTAATTTTTTGTGGGCATGCTTCTTAGCATAAGCAAGCCGATTGCTCTGATTTTTTTTGATTATAAAGAATTTTTTTAGGTACTCGACCATTAATCGAATTCTCTGCCCATATTTTGAGTCGTATTCTCACGAACAAAGCGGTTAATGATGCTCTGCACAGTGGAGCGACTCAAATTAACAAATTCCGCAATTTTCCGCGGAGGTTGACCGTTCTTAAAATGGGTTAGCACTAATTGTCTGTGCTCAATTGCAGTGCGTCATCCCACTTTTTAAAAAATTATCGTGAAATATTCCATACTAATATAAAAGATAAACCACTGCTTCACATTCGTCATAGTCAAAATAAGCTTCGATACTCTTGCTTTACATTTGTTATACTCGCACCGAGGTGCACTATAAATCATATAAGATAAATTAATTATATACAAAAAGCTTTTTTTACCATCCATCTTATTTGTTTACAAACTGATCAGATTCAAGTGGTCTATCAAAATGCTTCACATGTTTTGATTAATTGGTCAAATTAAAACTTGATTAATTTCGTATCCGCTTTAATTTCGAAATAAGAGTGAATCAATGTTTCAATCACTGACTATGCTACAATTTTTTTATGTGATTTGATATTGAAGTAAGTATTAGTGTCGCTGAAAAAGTTACGCTTTCTTTATATGGTGACAAAGAAGCTATATTCTAGCTATATTTATTGAAGTTTGGTTGACCATACAATGCTGTTTCGAGTGTTGCCGAGTACTCATCATCAGTTGGACTGCAAGTGCCAGGCTTAGAACTCGTGCCTGTCAATTTAGAAGCGATGACTTATCGTGTTTATCCACACGTAGCCAATGCTGCACAAACTTTCAGTGCTCTAGTCCCAGGTTTTGGTCACTTTTTTATTTAATTAGTGACATTAACCAAAGCACTTGCCGTGCTCTAAATTAGAACGAGCTTATAAACTACAGCTTTAAATTATGTCATTGGATATTATATAATTTAAAACAGTGAAAATGAATTCTTAGCGACTAAATAGAGTAATTTTGATATTGAGTAAAACGAGAAACCAATATCTTAAACACTGACGTGATTATATTTTTGCAACAGGTTTGAATGCCTTTTTTTTAAAAAAAATAATTAAAATTTTTTTATTGCTATCGAATATACTGCTACCGATGGATTCACTCATTTGTAACCAAAATGCCAGTGTTTTAGAATAAAAATAACACAGCAATATCTACTTTTTCATTGTCGATTTTTATAGTAGAGAGAAATTTATTTTAGGAAGAAATAAAATACTTTTTATTGGGGCCGAAATAGGTCCATTAAATTGAAATTGAAAACAATTCGATAATTACATGGTTTACTAATAATATAAATATATTTTTGCAAGAAATGATCATGTCTAAAATCGCTTAAGGAATTCTTCTGCGCAGGTACGTGCCCTTGCGTTCACTGCCAATTTCATTTCACTGATCTCCTTGTCAATCTCTTCCATGAAACTTATAACAAAGTCCACTAATTTATGTTTGTACATTTGTTCTGTATGAAAGTTGGTAATAAGGAAGCTTATATCATAGCCATCAATTGGTTTTCTACGTAGTATTATGAAGGATTCAGCTCGTCTCATCATAAAACGTGTGAACTTATGGCAAAGAATTTTTTCAATCTCGTCGGCTTGTTTAACAGAGATACTAACACGTACCGAATTGATGGATGGTTCGATAAGTACACGTTCACGTTCATTTCGGGATACAATAATAGGTGTAAGTACCAGTTCTTTGCTGGAACAGACTTCAACCTCCGGTTTGTTGTGACGCTCCACTACCTGTGAGGGAAAATCTTGTAAACACATCGCAGCTGCAAGCGAATGCCGAACGGCTGTTAAATATGGTTTAAGTGTAGCCGCCATTGGAGCCTTTTCAAAAATGCATATATCAGTTTTAAATAATTTAATCAATTGTTCGCTATCTTTACAAATGAATCACGCACTATTCCAACATTAACAACAAACTCCACACAAATGCACTGCACCTTCTTGCTTGCAAATGTCATGCACACGAAATGTCAAAAATTGATTTTGACACTTTGCGTGCACCCTACAGAGAGTAATTTAGCTTTAAAGTAATGACGTGTGGTATTTGCTTCCATGACTGCATATCAGATATTATAGCAAAAACTTATAGTTATTGCTATTCATATGTTTATGGAGAATTTTTTAAATTTATTATCTTAAAAATTATGCTTAAAATTACAAAAGTAACATATAAAACATGCAAACCAACATTTGTCTTTCCTACATACATTTATTATTGTATACTATGAAATTAATCGCTAAAATAATTTCAAATATTGCTTTATCAGCTACATATAAAAGCAATAATAATAATGGTTTTTGTTATTTTCAAAGTATTAATACTGTTTTTCATGCTAAAATTGAGAGAGGCAAATCTAAATTGAAATTTTGTTAATTATATCAATTGTAACAATTAATTGTGGTTTCGAAAAGTAGTGTACTACAACAAAAACAATTCTTTTATTACTATTTAAATTAATTGACTTTTTGGCTGACCATATAGCTGTTACGAGTACTGCCAAATACCTACCACCTTGGAATTATTTCTCATATATAATTATTAGTAAAAAATTTTTTGAGACTGCAAGTAACAGTGCCCTGTCAAATTTTGAAGCTCAGAGTCAGCACCCCAAAATAATAAATAAAAATATAAAATAATTCATTTGTATTTTGCAGATTCGTTTATTAGATTATAAAATATATATCAATATATATATGAACTGCAACAATATTTTATTATTCTATAAAGTTCACAAGCATTACATTTATGTTTTTTGATTTGCTTATCAAGTGATACTTTATAATTGTTTTCATGTTTTGCTCGGTTTGCACGGACTATTAACAATCTCCCTAATGTACCAGATATTTTCTACCCTGGAACTTTATCGGAAATACTTTAGGATAGGCTCCCTATATAGGTTTTCCATTAAAATTTTTTTATTTTTCTTCGTTAGCCTGCGTCCAGGTCTAGCTTAGATTTATTTATTTTTTTTTTTAAATTGGCCATTTTTTAAATCGTAGTTTTTCCGTTAGCTGTCCAGTTTTCTTCAGATAGCATTATTTTCGTTGTGATATTTTCGACGTTTATTTCACCGACTATTGTTTCAAGTGATGTTCTTGCAGTGTTCCATTTGTTGCATTTAAAGATGGTGTGCTCAGCGTTGTCTTTGTCTGCATCTCCGTATATGCATTTCGGATCATTTGCTTTGCCAATGTGGAAAAGGTATTTTTGAAAATATCTATGACCAGAAAGGAATTGAATTATAGTTTACTTCGCCAGTTTTCATGTCTGACCATTCTGCCGCATCTGGGATCAATCTTGCTTTAATCTTCCTTTTCTTTCTGCATTCCATCTTCGTTGCCACAGTTGTTGAATGTATATTTTATACAACGAAAAATTTATGTTCAAAATATTTTTGTGCATGTCTGTTTATCAGATGGCTGGTTATTGTACAATATATATAAAATTTATCAAATCAAACCATTGTGATGAAAATGTGGGTAAATATTTACTTCTAACACGTAATGCTTTTGGGTGTAATAATACATTCTGTATAGAGGATAAAACAAGACGAATGCTTTAATCATGTATAATTACATTGATTTGAAAAATATGTTTTTATCTGTTTATTCCTTATTTTATGAGCAATTGTAATATCCCAGTAGCAGAATACTCATGGCCTTGTCAAAAAAAGCCTTTTAAAAGCACTCCATCAGAAAGTGTAATGAAATTCACATGCCTTTTGTTAAAGTACTTTAAAAACGCCTTTACTAAGAAGGCGTCACTAAAGGAGTTGATGCGCATTGCGTACACGCAAGCGGTGTTTAAATCATATTTGCATGTTTTGTTTTTAAGTATATCTATTTTTTTTCGTTTTGACTTACCTTTGCTTTATTTCGTTGTAGTCTAGACTACTGTCTCTTCTTTGTTAAGTTAAATTATTGCAAGTTATGAAATTCTAACAAAATTAGTCCATTCGTAAATTCGAAAGTAAGCTGATCGCGAGTGAAATAATTTATAAATAGTGCTTATTAAAAGTAATAAAAATATATAAACTAATTAAATAATTAAATAAACTAATTAAAATAAATGAAAAGACAACTGAACCATAAATATTAAATAATAGTGCAAAACAGTGGAAAATTGTACGTAAAAATTGTAACAAAACAATTGTAAGTGTACTTTTATACCTGATTGGAATTATATGTAAAGTTGTCATTAGTGCATATTTTTTCAGTTAGTATAAATATTTTTCAGTTTGTTTAATTTTAAAATCAACATACACATTGTCTAATATTGCATTATATTACAGAAGCTGCAGATACTGAAGAAGCTGCAGGTTTCAAGGTTGCAAAAAACAGATATTATAGAGTGCTTGCATCAAAAAAAAATTAACAAAAGAGATTAACTAGATATAGTTATAAATAGTTTTACAATATTATTAGTTTAATAATATTAATTTAAGTTTAAATAAATTTTAGGTATAGTTTTAGATAGTTTCATAATATTATTAGTTTGAAAAATGTTAATATTATATTATTTAATTTATAATAATGTTAATTTAAATTTAAATAAATTCTAGGTATAGTTATAGATAGTTTCATAATATTATTAGTTTAAAAAATGTTAATATTATTTAATTTATAATCATGTTAATAATTTTAATTTAAATAAATTTTATTATAATATAAAAGATATTGGAATTTTAATAAATATAATTAAGTACATATATATTCATATTTTAAGTGCTTCATAAAGGCCTTTTCTACGCAGCGAGTGTGTAAGGCCTTCCTCAGAATTTGTGTTGCAGTGCTTTTTAAAGGCCTTTTCTACGCAGCGAGTGTGTAAGGCCTCCGATATTGGCTCATCCAGAACAAAAAAGAAATAGTAAAAAATACAAGTGTGTAAGTACTACTTACTGCAGAAAAAGGCCTTTAAAAAGGCCTTTTTACTCCTTATTGCTGGTACTGGGATATAATGATAACTAACACATGATCAATTAACTTTTAAATGCTATGGTCAAACGGACGGTAGGGCTCATATTGCACAAAGTGCAATGTAGTTATAATAATTATCAGCATGCTTATTTACTCACATAGCATATGCTTATGCACGCTACAATAGTTATGATATTGCATGAAATATACAAAAACAGTGATATCATTAACGTAAAGAAAAGCGTTTAGGTTTAAACGATTTAAAGAGATGGCCAACGTATGTTGAAACTGTTATATTGATATTGATAACATTAAGTTCTATTTGGCGGGGAAATATATGTTTTTACCTACCTGCTCCAGCAAACCTTCTAGCCTTATTAATGGAAGTTTTTGTTTACAGTCTTTTATTTCAGCTGACACCTACGATTTAACATATCTTATCGTCGCCTGACCACTTTTTTGTTTGGTACTACTAATAATGGAGAATCAAACTATAATAATGGAGAAATTAAGTCTTTTACTTGATTATTGATTGCAATAATTCGAATAACTATGCGGTAAACGCTAATTTTCTTTATAAACTGGGTTTTTGTCATTCAGTTTCATGGTCTATGAAAAATATTTACTGTGGAAAATACTTTAAAAATGTTCAAAAATGTTTTATATATTATTTTGTGCTGTGTTATTTGAATTGTTAATTTATAGATGTTGGCTAACTAAGTTCCATCTATCTGCTTTTTGGACTATTATTTCAAGTTCGATGTAGATGTTTGATAATGGTTTTGTTTGTATTTTTGCCGAAATATATAGCTCTTTTCCGTCATTTATTTGATGTTTTAAGTATTAAAATATATTTTTTCCTTTTGGATGGTATGATTGTATTTGCTATGGAGATAATGTCTGGTAAAATTTCATTGCAAATATATATCGTCTAAACTAGTTCAATGTCGGTAAGATATGTGTTATATTTAACGCCTTATATATACATATATAATTGGAATATAAGAGCGACGGTGTTCATATGATCTATGATATTATATACATATTTATTTTATAATATATGACAATATAAAATATCAATTTAATTTTATTTAAAATTACGTTATTAATTAAAAAATTTTCCATTAAATATACATTTAATATAAATACATTTTTCAAGGACGAGTCGATCCAACTCAAGTCATTTCGCACAATTCATACCATGGGATTCAGCTAGCATACAAGTCGCAGCTTTTCCACGAAAGCTTCGTTGTGAAACTATGTTTAAGAATGACCTTTCGGAGTTTGATGAGTCACGTGAAATCGTTGATTCTGTAATCCATGAGTATGAAGTACTAGCATAGACAAATTACTTGTAAGGGGCTCCAACTCGTAAGAATCCTTTCGGAGTTTATAGGGCTCCATCTGAATACATGTAATTTCCATTCTTCAGATAATTGTATTGTATTAGATATATTCTGTTAATATAAGAATCTTGTACAGCTTCAATAAATTATCGCTTAAAATATCGATATCCTTGGATGTGTTCTTAAATATCACATATTGAATTTTTGAATATTGTACTAATATTCTTATACTTATAAGTGTCTAAAAATATTTGCTCTTTAATTATTTGATTTTTTCATTATGAATTTATTTATGACTCAGCTTTTGAATGAAATTATATTATTTATATTACCATAGATAATAGATAGTTATGATGGTTTCAGCATATGTCATTCTATTATTCTAAAACTCTTACTTCATCAAGTTATAATCTGGTTTCAGGGAATTTTTAAATATATATTATATATTAGTAAATATTGTATTGGCACAATTAAAAGTCTGCTATATAATCTAAAGATTTCCACTTTCTTCTTGTAGGGTAAACTTAGGTCTGTAATTAATTAATTTGCATTAAATTTGGGATAAATTAATTTCCAATTGCACTCTTGATTCTCTTGATTCAACAATTCGGTTGAGATAGGTTTGAGTGCCTATAATAAGCATTCCTATATTCATTGCTCTTGAGTATGCCAAATACATAAACAAAAATCTGAAAATTTGTTTATTCAGT